ATAATATGAAATATGTGAAAGTTATAAAATGTCAATCAAAAAATGTATATATTTTATACAAACAGTACTATAAGTCGGGTGTATGTTAATTAATTAATTTGAAATTTTATATTTAACCACAGAATATTGTAAAGATAAATWATTGATAAAAAAAAACAATAATTTTTTAGTTTTAAAAATAATACTTTTGGCCGCCTAAAATCGTCTTTTATACCACTGTGGGGCGTCCCGAAACATTTTTGGAGAGGAGGAAATTAATTTAAAAAATAAATGTAGATGTTTTATACATTTTAAAAGTAATCTATGTGTTTATTAAATTTGTGCGTTACAGTTAAGGCTTTGGAAAACAAATTTAAAATTCTAGGAATTCCCTATTCCAGGGGATGTCCATGCTCATTATGTACGCATAGGTACTCAAACCTACTTGCCGTCGTTTTGCACGTGGTCATGGGAATATCGTTTTGGTGGTTAACCTCAAAACATTATCGCTATAATATGTTTATAGGTATGTATATATGTCGTAAACGACTGCACCTGTGACACTTTAAGCATTTTCAGAGACGGCTGTGGTGTCATTATTGTAAAAGGAACGCGGCCGCGATTTCCTACACAATCTAGCTGGCAAAACTTGGTGACAATATCGTCGCCGGATTATTTAGTTTTTGTGGTTCTGCATGCCTCGTTATTGAACGTCGACCTCGTTTATTATTATTTGTGATTGCGGAGACACTGCATCGTCTGCATCGATTTGATCCATCGGCAGTACGTATTAAGTATAATAAGGAGTCATGATTAATAAATATTTTATAGTGCATACTTAATTATAAAAACCGAGCTTATATATTCATTTACAAAGTATTTAATACAATACTGTTATCTTTAGTACTAAAATTATCTTAAAGTAGTATAACAAAAAATTGTAGTTAAAATTTCGATTACAATACGTCAACATTTTCAGAAAAATCATTTTTCATTAAAGTACGCAGGTTCCTATTTAAAAAACCCATGTTGGTAAATATTGTGAAAAATCTAAGTATCTATTCGAAAATACCGTCTTTGAATATTAGAAAACCAGAATTTGAATAAATGCATGATTTGAATTAAAAAACGTGGTAGGTAAACAAGTTAAAAAATCACTCTGTTTATGTGTAGGTGTTGGATGTGGGCTCGACCTAGATCGAAACTGAAGTTTATATTTTTATATAAACGGCTCTACCGTTTTTCCTAGAACCAGTTATTATAAAGTCAAGTATCCCACCCGACATAACTGCATAAGACGTTTYCTATCTACATTAGAAATACGTCCCGAACCATAAAATACCAAGTGCATATTATATAGAGGTGCCTACCGATGTACTATTATTACATGTAACATGTATATAATATAATCGATATCACCATAAACTTATTAACCTACTGCGCCATGTTCGATGGATATCTTTAGTACTTTTATTATGTTTGGCCCGTAACCATAATATCATAATAATAATAACAATGATGATAGTTTACTGACTATAGTGATGTCTATACAGTGACCCGTCTTGTGTGTTGTGTATGTTATTTTTACCGTGGACTGGCCGTGTTTTGCATTTCATACCGAGCAAGTCGTGTGCGAATTGGAGACTTGGTTTGTTTTTTGTCGTCGTGCTACAACGTATTACGGGTAAGCATAATATAATATTTTATTGAAACGCGCGCGCAATGTTACCAGTCACGTTTCCAGTTGTAATTTTTTTTTATTGTTTAACCGATGTCCGGCAATTATTCAACCGCAGTCCAGTAAATGTGCGCGCGTATTATAATATTATACTATTATCGTTTCATTATATGCATGTATAATAAGTGGACAACGGTGTTGAAAGACGAATGTGCATAGTATTAATATAATAGCGCGAATAAAATACGTAACCTGTGCCTATGATATTATTAATGATATTATATTAACGAAACTCTCGGTCAAGGGCGTCCGCGGGAATTGTTTTAATGAGGGTGCGAACAATTTTCCATTATACATTTAACATTTATACACGTATTATGAATACTATTTAAATTATATTTTTAGATAAATAAACTATAATGGAGAAATCATTAAAATCGTTTCTACTATTTTCTACGCCCTTGCAGCGCTCTCGACGTGGTGTAGGTATAT